TCCACAATGGGGATATAGGAAATGGGTAAATACTCCCTTTCCAAAAGGGAGAAACTGGCCTCAAGAAAGGTATTACAGGCCCCATGCAAGTCCAAAATCAGCAGGGCAGTCATTAAATCTTAAAGCTCCAAAATAATCTCCTTTGATTCCATGTCTCACATCCAGGTCACATTGATGCAAGGAGTGAACTCCCAAGGCCTTGGAAACTCCACCCCTGTAGCTCTACAGGGATCAGCCACCACAGCTGCTCTCAAGGGCTGGTGTTGGGTGCCTGTGACTTTTCCAGGCACACAGTACAAGTTGTTGGTGGATCTATCATTCTGGGGCCTGGAGGATGCTGGCCCTCTTCTCACAGCTCCACTAGGCAGTACCCCAGTGGGCACTCTGTTAGGGGACTCCAACCCCACATTTCCTCTCTGTACGGCCCGAGTAGAGGTTCTCCATGAAGGCTCCACCTTTGCAGTAGACTTTTGCTGGGGCATTCTGGCTTTTCCATAACATCTTCTGAAATCTAGGTGAAGGTTCCCAAGTCTCAACTCTTGCACTCTGTGCACGTGCAGGCTTAACACCACATGGAAGTCACCAAAGCTTATGATTTGCACCCTCTGAAGCAACAGCCCGAGTGACTGGGCCCGTTTGAGCACAGCCAGAGTTGGAGCTGCCAGGATGCCAGGAGCAGTGTCCTAAGGAACTGTTCTTCCCTCCTAGGCCTCAGAGCCTGTGATAGGAGGGGCTGCTGTGGAGGACTCTGAAATGCCTTCTGGGCCTTTTCCCCATTGTCTTGGCTATTAGTACTTGCCTTCCTTTTAGTTACGCAATTAGTCTGTTCTCACACTGCTAAAAAGAAATACCTGAAACTGGGTAATTTATTTAAAAAAGAGAGAGAGATTTAATTGGCATATGTTTCTACAGGCTGTACAGGAAGCATACCTAGGAAAGTCTCAGGAAACGTAACAATCATGGCAGAAAGTAAAAGAGATGCAGGCACATTTTACATGGCTGTAGCAGAAGGAAGAGGCAAGCGGGGAGATATTATATACTTTTAAACAACCAAATCTCATGATAGCATTAGGAGGATGGTGCTAAACCATTAGAAACCACCTCCAGGATCCAATCACCTCCCATCAGGTCCTACTTCCAACACTGGGGATTACAATTTGACATGAGATATGGGCAGGGATACAAATCCAAACCATATCAGGGAGTGAGTAGTCTTCATGGAAGAAGTGACACTTGAGATGGAATCTTAAGGATGAGTAGAAATTATCTAGACAAAGTGGTGACCATCTGGGAATGACAAGAGATGAAACTGGAGAGTTAGGCACTGTCAAGATCCTGCAGGGCTTTATTGACCCTGATATGGAGTGCTGATTTTATTTACAAAGCAAGAGCAAAGAAGAGTCACTATAAGGTTTTAAAGCAGGTAATGCTATGATTTGATTTTCATTTTTTAAGGACAATTTTGGCTATCGAATTGAGAATGGATTGGAAGAAAAGTAGGGTAAGAGTAGAAGTAGGAAGATTACTTAGGAGGCTTTTATATTAGTTAAGGCAAGAGAGAATGGTAGTTTAGTTTAGAGTGGTAGCCTTGGCCATTAGTGCAAAACTAAGGAGGTATCCAGGGAGACAGTAGAAAGTGGACACTTTCAAGGATATTAAATAAGTACAACCTAAAAGACTTGAGGACTGAATGAATGGGAATGGGACTGCTGAGAGTGAGTTCAGGTTCCAGTGAGAAACACTATTTAGTCTCCCCATCAAGGGGGGAAAATATAAAAACCTTTACATAGAACTTTTACTGATATGTAGTTTAGTCAGGGTTGCCCCTCCCTCTATTCAGATTGTCTTGCCCTGGTAATGTTTTATAGACATCATTCCCTCTTATCACGTATGAATGTAAGGTGGGCATAGTAAAGGAGAGGGAAAAATGAAGGATTATTCCCAAGTTTCCAGGTGGGACCGCTGGATAGCACTTATTGAGATAAGAAACATAGGAAAATAAGGTCAGGGTGAGAAGTGAGGGAAGATAATTTTGGTTTGATGTGTACTGAGTTTGAGGACACTGTAACACTTGGCACTGCATCTAGCATCCAGGAGAAGTTCAATTAATATCTGTTAAAATACTGAAATTAAAGAGACAAGTAGAAGAAAATGAAATAATTAAGTAGATTGAGAAAGGTTGCCAGAAAGCTTGGAGAAAAACCAAGATGATATGTAATTTTTGCAGAGGTCAAAGGTAGAAACTATTCTGAGATGAAAGTCCTATAAACAGAGTCAAATGCTACCAAGACGTAAATAAAAGAACTGGAAATCATCCATTCAATTTGTCAACAAAAAGTTCTTGGTGACCCCTGTAAGCGCAGTTTCAAGTAGCATGAGTATGAAAGGCAAATTTGAACATGTTTAAAAATAAATGTTGGTGGAACTTCCACTTCTGGCCAAGATGGAATAGCAGGGACTAAGCTTACTCCCCTGCCTGAAACAACTAACAAAAAGGAACAAAATATATGAAACAATAGTTTTCAGACACTAAGCATCCAGCAACAAAAAACAATATTTACTGAGATAAAGGGAATAAATGATATTTAATTATAGTTGGGATATACAGTATCTCCTTCTCAGCAACAGGTAGAACTACTAAACAGAATATCAGCAAAGATAGAGAAGAAATAATAACATATAATCAGCATAGGACATTCCACCCAACAACAGAAAAATACATTTTCTGTTCAAGTATACATGGAACTAAGAGAAAGGGACAAAATATATGAAACAAGTTTTCAGACACTGAACATCAAGCAACAAACAATATTTACTGAGAGATAGGAAACAAATGATGTGATCTTTAATTATAGTTGGGATCTATAATATCTACCTCTCAGCAACTGATATAGAACTACCAGGCAGAATATCAGCAAGGATAGATAAGAAATAATAACATATAATCAGCATGGGACATTCCACCCAACAACAGAAGAATATACATTCTGTTCAAGTATACATGGAACATTTTACCGTGATAGACAATAATCTGGGCCATAAAACAAGTCTCAATAAATTTAAAATTATTTAAGTCACATAAAAAAATCTTCTTTGATCATAAGGGAGTTAAGTTACAAATCAATAGCAGAAAAACCTCTGGAAATTGCAAATTTTTTGGAAACTAAACAACACACTTATAAACGATGAATAATTAAAACAAATCAAAAGGGAAATTAGAAAGTATTTTGAATTTAATAAAAATAAAAACGCAGCTTATAAACACTTGTAGGATGTAGCTAATACAGTACTTACCAGGGGATTTATAGCACTAAATAAACATATTTGAGTACAAGAAAGGTCTTCCATCTATGAAACTAGAAAAAAAAGCAAATGTAACCCAAAATAAACAGAAGAAATGAAATAATAAAAATCGGAGTTGAAATCTATGAAATAAAGAAAAACAATAGAGAAAAATCAATGAAGTCAAAAACAGGTTTTTTAAGAAAATCAATACAATTGATAAATATATAGCCAGGCTGTATAGGAAAAATGAGAAGAAACGAATTATCAATATCAGGAATGAAAGTGGTAACAACATTATCAATTCTACAATTATTAAAAAGCTATTAATATTATAAACAACTTTGGCTAATAAATATTACAGCAGATGAAACTGACTAATTTCTTGCAAGAAAGAAACTACTCAAAGCAGCTCAAACAGATACTATTATTACTCAAGGATAGATAACCTAAAAAGCCCTATATCTATTTTTTTAAATTGAATTTATAGTTTAAAACTTACCCAGAAGAAAACTCCAGACCCAGATGGTTTCACTAAAGAATTCTATCAAACATTTAAATTCAATACAAACTCTTGTAGAAAATTAAAAAGGAAGAAGTATTTCCAACACATTCTATAAGGCCAGCATTACTGTTACCAAAATATAACAAAGACATTACAAGAAAAGAAAACTACAGACCAATATCCCTCATGAACAGATATGTTCTTAACAAAATTTGATGGCACAAACTCAACAATGTACAAAGGGACACTACATCATGACCAAGCGGGTCAATAGTTATCCTATTATTACAAGGCTAGTTTAGTATTTGAAAATCAAACAAAATAACTCATTATATTAATAGGCTAAAAAAACCATATGATCATCTTAAAAGGTGCAGAAAACACACTGGACAAAATCTAACATCCATTCCCCAAAAAAATTTTAGCAAGTTTTACAGAAGGGAATTTCTTTAACCCAATAAAGGGCATCTCCACACAATCTACTGATATACACCCTGACATGGATGAATCTCAAAAATGTTATGCTTTGTGAAAGTCAGATATAGAAAAATAAAAAAACATGCTAACTCATAAAATTCAATAGCCAAAAAAAGTCCACAAATAAACTAATTAGGAGATAAGCAAAGAACCTGAAGAAACATTTTTCCAAAGAAGACATACAAATGGCCAATAGGTATATGAAAAGATGCTTAACATTACTAATCATTAGAGAAATGCAAATCAAAACCACAATGATATATTTTCTTATCCCAGTTAGAATGACCAGTATCAAAAAGACAAGATATAAAGAATGTTGTTGTGAAGAAAAGGGAACTCTTGTAAATTGTTAGTGGGAGTGTAAATAGGTACAAATATTATGGAAAAGTATGAAATATCCTTAAAAATATAACTACCATATGATCCATCAATCCCATTTCTGTATATATTTTCAAAGGAAATTAAATCGGTATTTTGTAGCAATATCTATACTCCTATGTTTATTGCAGCCTTATTGACAATAGTCAAGGTACGGAAACAACCCAAGTGTCCATTGGTAGAGGAATGGATAAAGAAAATTTCGTGTGTATTATGTGTGTGTGTGTAAGTAACAGAATATTAGTCAACCTCAACAAAGAAGAAAAATGTGTCATTTGTGACAATTTGGATGACTCTGGAGGACATTATGCTAAGTGATGTAAGTCAAACACAGAAAGACAAACATTGTATGGTCTCACTAATATGTCTAAAAAAGTTGAACTCACAGAAGCAGAGAGTAGAATGGTTGTTGCCAAAGGCTGGGGGCAGGAGTGAGGGGAGGGAACAGGGAGATGTTAGTCAATGGGTACAAACTTTCAGTTATAAGACAAATAAGTTCTGAAGATCTAATGTAATGTATGGTGACTACATTTAACTTCGCTAAGACAGTAGATCTTAAGTACTCTCACCATGAAAAAAGGTAATTCTGAGCACAATGCATATGCATACTGAATCATCATGTTGCACTTAAATTTATGTAATTTTTATGTGTCAATTATACCTCAATCAAGAGGAAGAAAAACAAATTATCTGAAAAGAAAATAAATTAAAAATTTTAAAGTACACATTATACTCGATTGATATGAACCTGCCCCTCTCCAAAACAAATTAATTTATAGCAACAAAAAGAATATTAGAGTTTTTCTGGGGCTGAGAGGTAGAAAATTAACTAGGAAGAGGCAATTGACTTTTGGGGTGATGAAAGTGTTCTATAGCATGATTGTGATGATGGGTACATAGGTTTACGAATTCTTCAGAACTCATTAAATGTACACTTAAAATGTGTGCATTTTATTGCATGTAAATTACACCTCAATAAAGTTTAAAGTAAAAACTAAGTGCAGCTGAGGAAGTATAGATGCTAAGCTCACCCTATTTGATAAACTTTGGCTAAGAAACAGAATATAGGATTGAAGGATTATTTTTGTTGTATTTTATATTAAGAAGGCAACTTGAGATTAATTAAAAACTGATGAGAAAGGAGGGAGAGATTGAAGATATATTTTTTTAACTTTAATTTTAATTTTTTTATTCTACTTTAAGTTCTAGGGTACATGTACAAAATATGCAGGTTTGTTACATATATAGTAGCCTTCTATAGTACCGCCATCTTTTACAGCAATCCAGATATCATGCTTCCCTAATAGATGGGAGTACCTTATAATCAGAAGTGTTAAGGTTTGAAAATAATTGCAAGGATATATATTTTTTCAACTAGAAATTTCAAGCAGGTCAGAAGTTTGTCTCTGGGCAGCATATGTGAAATACTGTACCTTCTAGCAAACTTTGATCAATTACCTAGGATCAATTACTGCCTGGAAGTGGAGAGGCACCCAACCTTTCCCTGCTTTTGATACGACTGCCTTTTGGGTAACTAATGTTAGCTACCAACTTCTCCCTATACTTGTATAGACATTTGAGGCAAAATTTCAGACTTGCATTAAATATTTTTTAACTCTCAAGTAAGATTTACTCCATTTTAAGTGTTATTTTTCCAGTTTGTATTTAAAACTTTTGTACACTTTACCAACCAACTTTTGGATTGATTTGAATGCTGAGAAGTTTATGTTGGTTACTCAGAACAGACTCCTTTTCTAACTGTATTTTAATTATCATTATCTATATATGGGAAATGTCCCAAGTAAGATCTGCAATAAAATAGAAGCTACCCATGTCAAAACCCAAAAAACTGATTCAAATGTTGGAGGCTTTAGATGCTTTGGCATTATCAATGAGGTAAAGGATTCAGGAGAGAAAAGGGCTCTAAATACTAGGTGCATTTTCATAAATTGCTGTCATGGCATTGCCCTTGGTATCTTAAACATGAGAGAGTGGAGCAAAACAAACACCACTGCTGTCTTTTTAACAAATGAAATAAAATGGCAGATATATTTTCAAAGAGACTTTATCACATCTATCCTAAATTCTATCCTCAAAGTTAGAGGCAACAGTTCTCATACTCTCACTCCAGCAAACTTCTCCCTGTGGCTTCTAGTAAATAAAAACATGTATATATCATTTGTTATCACAGGAAAATAGGTTACCCATGTCCTATTAATAGAGTAAGTTCCTTTTCTTAGTAGAAATAATGGAGATACACTACAACATCTTTATCTTCTTTCCTGATCCCTTTGATGTCTCATAATACATATAACTGAGGTAGCTAGCCAAGGTCAGGGGCTCAACCTATGGCTGGGTTTAAGAGCTCAAACTATGACAAGGATTAGAGGTCAGCCTATGATCAGGATTAGGACCTCAGCCTCTGGCCAATAATAGGGCTCTACCTGTGACCAGGGTTTGAGTTTTTTTCTGGGATTAAGGCTAGGCTCAGGCTGAGACTATACATAGGGTTAAAGCTTATGACCTGGGTTCCATCTGTAGCTGGGGAGCAGAGTTAAGCCACCAGACCCAAATTAGAAGGGACCCACTACCTTGGTTCTATTACCACAGGGTTTTGACCAGCTGAGTTAACCAACCAGAGTCTGCTTTGGAAGCATGTATGGGAGAGCACCCAGAGAGATACCACTTGTGGGTCCTTCAACTACTGCTGACAATTAGCTGAGAAAAGTCATTTCCTCTCACCATGCTTCCCATTACCCATTCTTCCAAGTGTGGAACATGATCATTATTTCTCACCATGGGACAAGGAGCTAGGGTGAGAGGAAGGCAAGGAAGGGGAAATGAGCTTTGAATTAACATTTGCTGTTGCTTTCTCTCTTGTCCTACTAACCTCTGTCTCTTACTGAAAACAAAGCCAAGCTTCCAATTTTATCCCTCCAGGCATCAGTTTCTTTCTGTCGCTCTTACCCATAATTTGAGTACTTATTGGTTTTTTGAAACTGAATATTTCCATTGGCCCCTATACTAGACTATCCTAATTGATTCATTTCTCTCTATCTGTTGTTTGCATCCCTTCTTGACACACCTCCCTATGTGAACACTTCTATGTGTATATACACAATTTGCAATCAGAAGTATTAAGATTTGAAAATATTTGCAATATCTGGACTTCTAACTAGCAATTTCATAAAAGCCAAGAAGTACACACACTGCTCTTTCAGGATGTCTTAGTTTTGTTTGTTTGTTTGTTTGTTTGTTTGTTTGTTTTGCTGCTATAACAGAATACCACAAACTGGGTATTTTATAATGAACACAAATGTATTGGCTCATGGTTCTGGAAAGTCCAATATAAAGGTGCCAGTTTCTGGTGAGGGCCTTCTTGCTGCATAATAACATGGCAGAAGGCATCACATGGTGCAAGGGCCAAAAAAGAGAAAGAGATCAAGGAGGAGCAAACTCATTCCTGTGATAACAATAGCAAACCCACTCCTGTAATAATAACATTAGTTCATTCATGAAGAAGGAGCCATCATGACTTAAACACCTCTTAAATGTCACATATCCCAATATTGTCACAATGACAAATAAATTTCAACATGAATTTTGGAGGGGACAAATATTTAAATCATAGTACCCCTTAAAAATGAATTTAGTAAACAACATCTTTATGCAGAGTAATGACTGTACTTGACACTAAAGGGAGAGAGGATACGGACAATTTGGCTTTATCCAATAGTTTTATGGGGTGCTCTGCCTAGCTTCCAGGCAACAGACTGCCCCTGGTGCCAAATCCCAGAATCCCAGAAGCTCCAGGGAATAAAAATTAGCTGCAGAAAAGCTTAATTTTAGTACTGGAGAAGTAACTCAAAGTGGACATAATAGGTCAAGAGGAGTATTTAGGTAACAAAGAATATTGATGATGTTGATGATAATAATGATGATGATAATGGTGATGGTGTTGGTGATGATGATGATTTTAAATCATTTAGATTTTAGATCAGGATAATATTATTTGAAATCATTTTTTCTCCTAGTAGTCTAGTCTGTACCCCAATGACCACCACTCCCTTCCCAATTCCATCAGTTCCACAATTTTGTGTTCATTGCCTCGGGGAGGGATATGACTGAACAAAAGCAGAAATAAAAGAGTGATCAGTTTGGGTGTCCAAAAAATTAAGTTCCGAGGGCACTAGAGAGGACAGAGAGTAAAGTGAACATGTTTACTGAGGAGTATAGGAGAAAAAGAGAAACTTTGAGACTATAGGTATAACTGGAACCCAGCAAGAGGGTCTTTGCAAATTGCCTCCTGGCAAAAGCCTTGGGGAAAGAAGAAGGAAATAAATTTCTGTGCCTGTTTATGACCAGGAAGGAGCAGAATGATTTCCAAGTCCTCAAATGAAGCATGGAAGTATCAAAGAGAACCATTAGAGCTGAAGGGGACAGGTGGAGGGATATCAAAGGTGCAACTTACCTAGTAGATGACATTAAGGATCAGATGGCTCACCAGTGCATACAACCCTAAGGAAAGGAGAGATCCTTGAATAGAATGATACTGAGTTTGAACATCCTATGAGTTTAGGAACCCAAGCAGAAGTTGAACTATAGAAACCTAAATTTGTGGACTGAGACTTAAACCAGCCACTCCACTATGTAAAAGAAGACTATGTCCTGAAGTAAGGAACCTTTCATGGGTTCCTTAAATTTAGCTGAAAGCTGCTTTTGGAGACGGTGTTATTAAATGGTATCAACTCCAAAAAATGGTATAACACAGTTGGTTAGGAAAACAGAGGGCCTGAAATGGTACCTCACAGGTGCACATAATATCAACTTCTAACTGCAGGTAAAAATTAGTCTCAAAAAAATTAGACAGCAATTAAATGAGGATCATGATGCCTGTGGATGGCAGAACTATCCCCAGGAGAAGCTATCTGTCAAAATTTAGCTATATATATATGGAGGTGACATCATATACTTGTACAGTGTAACTAATTTTCTTGTCAAACATTTGATCTTAAAACATACGGTAGTATTTAACTTACATTTCTAGACACACAGAAGTACATATACACACACACACACACACACACACACACACACACACATCATAATGCTTAAAATGAAAGCCTCCAGGTGAATACAAATATTCTCTCCTCCACTTCTTAGCTTAGGTAGTCCCAGATATGCTTTTAAACTGTTAATTGGAATATTAACCACATACGACTTTAGATTACATGTTTGTCTAAGACTTCCTCACCTAACTCTTCAAAGGGACTGCCTGCTACCATCACTCTCCTGCCTCATACCTGCCTCTAAGCTTTCTTGAGTTTTCTGTCACTTCCAGCTCAGAAGTGATTCAAGGTCCACCTCCTCTGAGCCATCTCCAGTTTCTAATTTATACTTTACATTTCCTTATTTCTGATTCCCAGCCACTTTGTTATTCTTTTTCCACTGTCAATTTGTTAATCTTCCCCCCACTAAACTACCAGCACCAGGCATTGTGTCGTTCATAAGTTTCCTTCATTGGTTTCATATATATATATATATATATATATATATATATATATATATATATTTCCTAACCTACGAAGTTTAATCTAAGGAGGCAGTATAGTATAATGACAATGACAAAACGCACTGGACTTGAAGTGTTTACACTCCAAAATCTTAAGTTTGAATCCCTTTCTGCCACTTACTAGCTGGGTGCATTTTGACAAGTCATTTCGCAGCTCTCAAGTTTTAGTTTCCTCATTAATAAATTTGAGGGCTGAATTAGATAAAGGTACTGCAAACTGGAGACTGTATGGTGAACTGGGCACTCTGATATGCTTTGTTTGGTCTGAACAGTGTTTAAATATTTTTAATGATTTTAGATGGAGAATACACGCTCTACTTCTCCAAAGTCCTGCTCCCTAATGCCTTCCACTCACAAGCTACACTTATGGGCATTTGTATTTAGGGCCACAAGATTAAGTATTTTGTAAGTAACATTCATTCAACTCTAATGGCACTCTATATGTTTTACATTTTTTTGCTCTTCTAACAGATACCTCCCACTCCACATCTCCTGGCCATAGTAACATTTCAGTAAAGCAAATTCTCTGTGTCCTGCACTGTGGTTTGAACAATAAAGGTTAAGAAATTGAAGAAGATAAAGTCTGAACAAGAAGGAATAAAGATTCATTGAAAGAGCTAGGAATGAAATTTGGTTTTAACAGGCAATATTTGGGACTTCAGATGTCTCTCTGGTCATGATGCACAAAGAATGTGCCCCATCCACATGTGATCCACAACCCTCTTCATCCTCTTGCCTCTCCCAGACCCCCAGTCACTCTACAAGATGCAGGCCATCCCAGGATTCCCTCTACTATTCCAATACTCTCTGGCCATCTGAGGCTGGAAACAACAGATGTACCACCCAGGTTTCAATCCCTTCAAAGAAAAAGGCTTTAAATTGTTCATAAAAGCAACTCAGCAGGCTTCTTGGACATCAAATCTCTTACAAAACAACATTTTGATGTGTTAAATGTAAATCAAGTGGAATCACATGCATTCAATAGGGCCTGAAATGTGCCTAGGCTTAAAAATAAAGGAAAACATCTCAGTGCACTGACTGGGGACATTCGGCAGCTGCAAAATTTTGGAGGGTAAATGGTTTTTGATATTCTATAAAACTCAACTATGATGAGGCATCTGGAGGCTACCTGCTCCCATCCCTTTTCTGCCTTGTCACTCTAGCTCAATCCAACTATAATACCAAGATATTAACCAGTAATAAAATGGAGAATGCTATTATCTTATTCCACTTAGGAATATCATGTACCAAATGACCACCTGTGGGCTTTAGATAAAAGACAGTATCTATGTCCTTGGAGAAAAATAAAATCCAGTGTTGGAGGCTTGCACCCAATTTTCAGGCTGCCTCATATCTGATAGTAGACTCTCCAGTAGAGCTGGGAAGATGTAATTCTCTTTCATAGCAAGTTTCTAATTTGGTGGGAATGAAATTCCTGCTTTCAGGGAAATCCCTACCCAGACAGTAAGACAGAAGTAACATCCAAAGCATATTCAATAGGAAGGTCACAAGAATGAAGCTCCTGACATTGGTATTGACAAATAAAACATAACCACTATTTGGACTGTCCCGAGATTCATATTCTTTGCTACTTAGTACAATATATTTCATGGGTGCTAAAAATAAGATAGTAACAATACTATTACTCCAACCAATAATAATAATATCTTCCATTTATCAGTGCTCTTGTGTTATAGGAACTGAACAAGACATTTTATATCCATTTATATATGTTTTTATTTAGTCTACCCAACAACTCTGCAAGGTAGGTATTAATAGTCCCATTGGGAAGATATGGAAGATGAATCTCTGATAACAGGACTATATGCAGTCTATACACTTTTAGATGCTTTCTGGCCATGCATGCTTCTGTCTAATGCTGTACTTTTGTTCTCTTCCTCTTCTGACACCATTAGATAAAGACTGTGTTCTTCCCCTACACTGTCTTCCTTTACTGATAAAAACTCATGTTTCTTACTCAGCAGAAAACCAAGCACTGGACGGTGAACATCATGGGTATACAACCCATATTGGTAACTAAATGACTGACTTTGTTATTCTGGTTTGATTCTGTTAGAGCCACACTTAAGCAGCAATACTCATGCCTAGGTGTTTTATGGAGTTTTGCATGAACCAGTGCTCTTGGTTTTTATGTGCATGCCTCCTATTCACAGCACTGAGTCATGAGTCCGTGGTGGTCTTGGCTAGGAGACAAATCTGAGAGACAGACAATCATGTTGTCCAGTGATTATTCCCCTCTACTCTGATGATGAGGGCTTTCTCGCAGGGTCAGGCTCATCACTCCTGGTTGGCTCCTTCTTTTATAGGGAAGTCTTTCCTCAGGAGGTTCCTGAGGCTTACATGTTCTACCCGTTCATTGTGTCCAGTGAACCTTAATCCCAGTTTATGCTCAAGTTGGGTGGGACTGATGGATGGTTTCTATGTGTAGAAATGTCATGGACCCAACCACAGCACTGTAAGCCAGAGAGCAAGTTCAGAACTAGGAGACCAAGTCAGGCTGTGGCAACTTGCGAGTCTATAGGTACAACCATGGCCAAACCTAGCAAATTCTGGCTTACCAAAGCTAAAAGAAAGATTCAAGTCTGCAGTCAGAGGCTGAAGCCAAGGACTTATCTTGGTAGAAAGTGTCACCAGAGGTTCTTGACCATCACAACCCGGAGAATGATTATTTAACCAATGAAACTTGAAAATTCCATAAAAGATGGCGATTTAAAAATATTCAATCCTTATCACTCTTTATTCATATGAATTCTTTCAAAGAAACTCAGTATTTCTAATAAAATTGAGAAGATGGTTGGCATACTGCTTACTGAGTACAGGCTCTCATGCTAGGCAGCCCTGGGTTCAAATCCCACTTCCACTTACCCTACCTTGTGACCTTGGACTAGTTTCTTTGTTTCTCCATGCCTCAGTATTTTTTTTTTTTTTTTTGCCATCTGTAAAATGGGGGTAAAAACAGTACCTACCTCTTGGTACTGTTGCAATGATTAAATAAATGAATACATGAGAAGTTTATGCAACAGTACCTGGTAAATGCTCAGTAAATGTTGGATTATTGTTTCAGTAGATGAACTCTGAGTGGCTCTGACTGAAGGAGATGTGGGGTAGGCACCCCAAGGCCCACCCCATCACTTAGCACACTTTGGAAATCATTGCTATGGTACAATATTCCACCCACTCCAAAAATCTCCTCTACAACATCTATACACTGCTTAACACTGTCTGTGATGGAGACCCTGTTACCAGCTCTAATTATTCCAAACATCAAAGTCTTCTCTTATATTGACTCAAATGTACTACACAGTGGAGTGGGAGATGCCACTGATTCAAGAAGCAAAACAAAAACAGTACAGCACAAAAACAAGTTGTCCTTTAGTCAGACAGACATAGACTCCTATCTCTGCAACTTCTTAGTTATGTAATCTTGGAGAAGTTACTTAACCTCTCTGAGTGGGTTTTCTCTCATCTGAAAAACAGGGATAATAATCTAAGGAATAGGGTTGCTGCTATGGACTGAACTGTGTGCCCCCCAAAATTAATATGTTGAAGTCTTAATCCCCAGTTTCTGTTTATGGAGATAGAAACTTTAGGAGGTAATTAAGGTAAAGTGAGAGCATAAAGGCAGGGCCCAATCTGATATAACTATAGCCTTATAAAAAGATGAAAACTCTCTCTCCCACTTCCTCTTTCCATACACAGGCATCAAGAAAAGGCCATGTGACCACACAGCTAGAAGGCAGCCATCTGCAAGCTAGGAAGAGTGCCATCACCAGGAACCAAGTAGGCTGGTACCTTAATCTTGGGCTTCCTAGCCTCCAGAACTGTGAGAAAATAAATTTCAGTTGTTTAAGCCACCCAGTCAATAGTATTTTGTTATGTCAGCCTGAGCAGACTATTACAGTTGCTGTAAGGATTAAATGAGACA